GCATATTCACTTAATAATAGATTTATGTCTGATAAATACATGATCATACCTAAACTTTTTCATTAGATGATTTCCCTGTACTTGTTCTAATAAAATAAAGAGGCCACAAATGTATTTCGCAGCTAGGAACTGAAGAATACTTGTAATTATTCCCACAAAGGCATACATTCCAGGCTTAGAAAACTTATGAGGAACTTCACTACTGATAATTTTTATTAAAATATTCATTTTTACACATCTATACTTCTGATGACTAAGGTTTTTGTCCTGTCTAGTACTGATACATATCTCCCTGTATGTACGATATTGTACATATCCAGATTCAAGACATACTTATTTTACATTCCTGGTTTAGTAAAATACTAAGAATTTAGTTTATTATTACATGCTTATCAGAACATAATTATTAAGGTCTTGTTTCTAACCTCAGTTCACTGCTTTCTCTTTCTGTCCCATTAGAACACAGTGTAAGAAATGGAGGAAGCAAACCAGTCGGTGGTGTCTGAGTTTATTTTTCAGGGACTCTGTGACTCTGAGGAGCTTCAGATCTTCCTCCTATTGCCATTTTCTACACTCTACCTGCTAATTGTTGTGGGAAATCTCTTCGTGGTGCTGCTGACCACCATCTCCACTTGCCCATGTACTCCCTGTTAGCTAATCTCTTCTTTGTTGACTTCTGCCTCTCCTCAGTAACCAAGCCTAAACTCACCACAGACTTCCTGCAGGAGAACAAGACCATTTCCTTTGGGGGCTGCATGAGCCAGATCCTCTGTGTGCATTTCGTTAGAGGGGCTGAGATGGTGCTTCTTGTGAAGATGGCCTATGCCATTAAGTGGCCATCTGCAAGCTGCTCCGCTACTCCAGCATCAGGGACAGGCAAAAGTGCATCTGGTTAGTTTTGACAGGATGGATCATTGGGTTTGTGCATGCCTGAGTCAACTGATCATGATTTGGGAGTTACCCTTCTGTGGACCCAGAATGGTGGGTAGCTTTTCTGTGACATCCCTTTAGTGATGAAACTAGCCTGCATGGATACAGATACTTTGGGAATACTGATAAATGCCAACAGTGGTGTTTTGGCAACAATTTGCTTCTTTCTTATAATGATCTCCCACACTTACATCCTGCTTACTGTCTTCCTTTGTTCTCAAGATGCTGTGTCAAAGGCCCTCTCTACCTGTACCTCCCACATTACAGTGGTGGTGCTGATCTTTGTACCCTGCATCTTCATCTAACTGTGGCCAGTCAGCATCACTTGGGTGTATACGTTTCTTGCTGTGTTTTATACAGTAATTAAACCTCTTTTGAATCCAGCCATTTATACACTGAGAAATAAAGAGATTTGAAACACCATTAAAAAACTGATGAATCAGCATGCTATTTCAAGTAATACTTGTTAGATTTCTGGTGATCAGAAAATCCTCTATGTTCTACAGTTTAATCACACATTCAATCTGCAAATGAAACCTCATACATGACTTAATTTCTGTAAATTATGAGTGTCCACAGACATATGTGTTGTATCTTTTTTCATTATGAAAATATACTCTAAAACTCTGCTTAAATTCTTGCCATAGGAAATAAACTCTCAGTAGACATAACTATTGTGTCTATAAATTACAAGACACTATAACAATTAAATTTATAAAAGCAATAATTGTCACATTTCATTAAGCACTGTCTAGGCATCCAATATGTACAAACAATTCTTTTTTTTTTTTTTTGTCGGTGGTGGGGCTTGAACTCTGGGCCTGGGCGCTGTCCCTCAGCTCTTCAGTTCAAGGCGAGCACTCTACCACTTGAGCTACAGCTCCACTTCCGGTTTTCTGGTGGTTTATTGGAGATAGGATTCTCACAGTCTCTCCTGCCCAGGCTGGCTTTGAACCGCGATCCTCAGATCTCAGCCTCCTGAGTAGCTAGGATTACAGGCGTGAGCCACCAGCGCCTGGCTTGTACAAACCATTTTTACATTGTATACTACTACATGTATAATAATGTATTTATATTTTATGTAGGTGAGGGCAGAAGAGAAAAACTGGCAGAGGGTGAGGGAAGGGAGACACGGTTCCAAAAGAATTGTACTCATTATCTGAGTTGTGTAACTGTAACCCCTCTCTATATCAACTCTACAATAACAATAAAAATAAAATACTGAAAAAATAAATTATAAAGTTATATCACAACTAATACCACTGAAATTCCAAGAGAGTAAGGGGTTATAACGAATAATGACATGCCAATACTTTAGATGATGTAGAAAAAAAAATCGATGAATTGCTAGAAATTTGCATCTAAAGATTGAATAATGAAGAAATGGAATATCAGAACAAAACTATAATTGACTTAACAATAGAAAGTCTCTAGTCAAAGGAAAGAGCAGGATCTAATGAACTGGCCATTAAATTCTATTTAAGACTTAAAGAACTGATACAATTAATAGTTTAAAGTCCTCTAAAAATTGAAGAGAAAAGAATACTTGAATATAATTCCTTAGTTCTGAGTTTGGGAAATTCAAGGTCAAGGCATTAGGAGATTTGATTTCTCTTGACATATCCTTCCTTGGCATTTGAATGTCTACCTTTTTGCTGTTCTCTTAAAGTCCTACTCTCTATACATGTACATGACTGATACTGCTTTATGCTTCAGAGACAATAAATGTTATATTAGAACTCCCCTACTTTCATATACCATAACTTTAGACCTTATCTCCAATTTGGTTAATTTCAGGCACGGTAGGTGTGGGGTCTGGAACTTTAAAAGCAAAGACATTCCTAAAAAACTGTAAGATTTATGACCATCTCAAATTTCATAATAAATATCTTCAACTGTTTTGAACTATTGTGAAATTTTATCAACCTATTGACACTAGAAGAGGTTCACAGCAGAATTTCCTGATTACTATAATTTTTATGTACAGGAGATAATTATCAATGCATTTTTGGGAGATACTGGTTATGACCTCAATGGAACTCATTGGACACTATCCAGAGAAAATAGTCAAAACTACCAGTAAATTATGACATCGCTGACATGGCCTTAAATGCTTATCAAACTGGCTTCCAACCTACTATACTATAATGTGTGTAGACACATGACTAAGAAACTTTGGCACTTTACTTCAGAAAAGATGACATTATACAGTAAAAGCTGACATTCTAAAAGAATGTTTCATAATAAGAAACACCTATGATGGAAATTTCAAATAGAAAACATTTCAATGTATTTAGACTCACATATTTTATCTTATTAAGAATTTTTTATTTTTAAATAAAAAGTGCACTGTAACTGATACTTTATTATTCATCACTCCAAACTGTAAAATACAAAATACAGTTTGAAGCCAGCACTGGTGGCTCACACCTGTAATACTAGCTACTCAGGAGGTTGAGATCTGAGGATTGTGTTTCAAAGCTAGCCCGGGCACTAAAGTCTGTGAGACTCTTATCTGCAATTAACCCCCAGAAAATCGGAAGTGGTGCTGTGGCTCAAGTGGCAGAGCACTTACCTTGAGCTGAAGAGCTGAGGAACAGTGCCCAGGCCCAGAGTTCAAGTCCCATGAACAACATCAACAACAACAACAACAAAATACAGTATGAAAGTTACATGGGAGTATGTTTCTTCTCATTATAAGCATAAAGTGTTAGTTTCTAAAAATGCTGTCCTATTCTGTGTGCTGGACAGATTTCTAAGCTTGAGGATCTAAGTACACAGCCTTTGCCTTGTGTATCTACTAACTGGATGCAATGTTGACCTGGTCTGCGTATGAGGTTCCTCTCTGTAACATAACTCCATCTCAACCTTCATTTATTCACTGAATTAATGTTTCTACTTTCTAAATCTATAACAGTATACAAGTACAGACATAGGAATGGTTAAACTGCAGGTTAGGGCAAGACTGCTAACTGTCCTCTTAGATACCAGATGTCAAAACATCACTATTTTATAGTTGAAAACTTCACTTTTTTCCCTCCTCCTCTTCTTTCTTGCTGTTGTTGTCATCGTCGTCTTCCTTCTCCTCCCCATCCCCCTCCTCCTCCCCATCCCCGTCCTCCTCCTCCTGTTGGTCATGGGGCTTGAACTCTGGTTCTGGGCACTGTCCCTCAGCTCTTCAGCTAAAGGCTAGTGCTCTACCACTTCAGCCACAGTGTCACTTCTGGTTTTCTGGTGGTTAATTGGAAATAAGAGCCTCAGGGACTTTCCTACTCAGGCTGGCTTTGAACCGGGATCCTCAGATTTCAGCCTCCTGAGTAGCTAAATTTACAGGCGTGAGCCACTGACACTGGGCATGAAAACTTCATTATTTTCATAAGAATCATAACAGTATTTATTTTACTAGGTTAAATTTCTTTATAATTTTATATTTAAAATACATAATCTTATTGTTATTATAAGAGGGGTTATACAGAGGGGTTACCATTTCATAAGTCAGCTTATGTGTATATTCCTGTTTTGAACAATGTCAACCATTTCTTTGCTTTCTTCCAACTTCCCTCCCATCCCTGCCCACAAATTATAGAGTTCATTTTCCATATAATGTATACAAATTTAAATTCCTGTGACTATGTTTATTAGTATAATAAAGTAAGAAAAGAAAGACATATCAATATGGCTTGTTTGCTAAAATTAACTGTTATGAGAATGAACCATTCATTCTCTGTAAATGAGATTCTTTTTTAACCTAATGAGAGGAAATTATTGACTAATTCCAGTAAGTCTATAAACACATGTTTGGATTCTACTTTATAAATAATTTTAGATTTTCTGTAGATCAATACAAATTTGGACAACATAAAGAATGATTTGAAAACCCTAAACTATGTAAAATTGCTGAGAAATATCCAATTAATCACATTATCAGTTAAAAACTAGAAATAAACTGCCCGAGATTTTCAGTCTTCTGGATGAGGAACAATAAATTTTCTCACAATACAAGAGTCCACGAAATACTTATGTTTACAGTAGAGTTTCCTGAAGATACAACTTTTGTTCTTGTAAGTTTTTTAGGAGATTCTTTTCAAACTCAAAAGTTGACCATTCAGCCTCCTCATTGCTAGCTTCATGTCTTTGTTCCTCAGTGTGTAAATGGCGGGATTCAGGATGGGTGTAATCATAAAATCTAAAATCGCAAGAAACTTATCCACAGGTACTGTAGGAAATGGCCACATGTAAACAAAGATGCATGGTCCAAAGAATAAAACCACCACAGAGATGTGAGCTGAAAGAGTAGAGAGGGCCTTGTGCAATCCACCAGGAGAGCTTTTCCACACAGTGAAGAGTATGAAGGCATAGGAGAGAAGCAATAAGAAGAAAGAGCCAAGGGAAATTAACCCACTGTTAGCAGTTACCAAGAATTCCATTCTGTAAGTATCTATGCAGGCCAGTTTAATAAACCAAGGAAGATCACAATAAAAGCTGTCTATCTCATTAGGGCCACAAAAAGGCAAATGCACAACAAAAGCTAACTGGATCACTGAGTGAATGAGTCCGATAGCCCACACTCCAAACAGAAGTGAACTACACATTCGTGGGCTCATGATGCGCAGGTACTGTAGTGGTTTGCAAATGGCCACGTATCTGTCCACGGCCATCGCTATGAGTAGCACCATCTCAGACCCCCCCAGGACATGGAGGAGAAACATTTGTGTGACACAACCCTGGAATGAAATGGTATTGTGGCCAGAATACAAGTCAGAAATCATTTTGGGAACTGTTAAAGTAGACAGGCATAAGTCAATAAATGAGAGGTTTCCTAAAAAGAAATACATGGGAGAATGTAGGTGGAAGTCTAAAGTCACTGTGAGCACAACGGAGACATTTCCTAGAACAATGGTCACATAAAACACGGTAGAGAAGGCAAGGAGGAAACGCTGCACTGGTCTGTAGGTAGAAAGCCCAAGAAATATAAATTCTGATACTTCAGAGTAATTTGTCTCATACATTGCATATTTGTCTTAGCCTAGGATGTCCAAACAAAACAAGAAGAAAAGAGTTTATCAGAAGTATATATTGAAAAGTTAAAATTTTAGAATAAATCTTCATGAACTACAATAAGATATTTTTATTAAATTATTTAATTATTTTTCCTTCCATATAATATTTGTCATGAGCATTTGCTATTTTCTATATATCTTGTCAACTTTTAAAGTAAAACTGATCTTACTTTTAGAAGATTTAGATGTCAGTTATTCCTCTGACATATTTTAATGCAGCCAAAACACAAACAAAAATTGAACTAGTTCTCATCTCAGCAGTGCCTGCATAGACTCTGCTTGCTGGTAGGGCTACTACTGAAATGCTGCCAGTCCAGGCTTTGAATGTTCTGGACAAAGACTGGCCAAAGGGCCAGCAACATACAGATGATGAGCACATCTGTATGTCAAAGTAAAAGAAAACAGATTCTGTGCCCAGAACTCTGTTCTTATCAGAAATATGATATAAAACTATCAATAATTTTAAGTCATTTCTTGACCATACTTCTGTTTGTTAATGGTCACAGTATAAAAAATGGAATGAAGCCAGCACCTGTGGCTCACTCCTGTAATTGTAGCTACTCAAGAGTCTGAGGTCTGAAGATCAGAGAACCTAGCCCAAGCAGAAAATATCTCAAGACTGCTTATCTTCAATTAACCAGCACAATGCCCAACTGGAGGAATAGCGCAATTGGTAGAGCACCAGCCATGAGCATAAGAAGCAAAGTGAGAGCACAAGTCCTAGGAACCAGCACAGGCAAACAAAAAGTGAATGCAATGAAGGGTTTAGAGTTAAGCTTAAAGTAACCTACTAAAGAAATTTAATGAACCAATACACATTTGGTGCTTTAAACAGAGATGTTCATACAAGGGATAAGACTTTGGAAAGTATAATGTTCAACTTTATATGCAGAAGCAAAATCAGTATTATGGAAAAATGTGAATAATATATATTTGAATAAAAAGAGAAGGAAACATAGGAACATATGAAAGCCTGTATATCTAAAATCTGTGTATCTAACTGATGCTTTATGGTAATGCTTATTTATAAATTGTTAAGTCTAACTTATAGGGCCATATTAGTTTATAGCACAAAATATTCTTTTTAGAAGCTCCAAAAATGTCAAATACCAATTTTTGATAGTGACTAGTGTAATACACAATCATATTTTCTGATTTCATGTTCTAAATTGTCTTTGAGTAACCAAGACAAAAATTATCAGCTGTCATGAGCTATTTTACAACTACTTTCCTTAGTTTGCTTTTGTTTTTACTTTTTTGGGGAGGGGGTTGGTCGTGGGCTTGAACTCTGGGCCTGGGGGCTGTCCCTCAGGTCTTCAGCTCAAGGCTGGCACTCTATTACTGGATCACAGGGCCACTTCCGGTTTTCTGGTGGTTAATTGGAGATCAGATTCTCAAGGACTTTTCTGCCTGGACTGGTTTTAACCCTGATCCTCCTGAGTGGTGGGGATGGTGGCGTGAGCACTGACGCCTTGGCTCCACGCAGAAGCAGTGGCGGTTCTGCTCTCATCCAGCCACACTGACCACTCCCCATCGTCCCTGCCCCTCGTGTCCGCACCCAACTCGGCCCTGCGTACAGCGGCTCTGCCCTGCCTCACACACACTGCAGAAGGTACCCACGGGAGCCCTGTGGATGCCCTGCATCAGAGGCTGGAGCCCCAAGTTTGGCAGGACCAGAGGCAGTGCTGCGGCCCACTATAATCAGTAAGCCATTCCATGTGGGCCTGCACAGGAGCGGAGATTCATTGGAAGGGGAAGGGCTTCACTGAATGGGCGGAGCTGTACTGGAGGGGTGGGGCTTCACTAGAGGGGTGGAGCATCACTGGAGGGGCGGAGCAACACTGGAGGGGTGGAGTTTTGTCAGAGGGGCGGGGCCTAATTGGATGGGCGGGACTGCACTGGCACTACCGCAAGGCATTTCTAAGTATTTCACAAAGCTAAACCTGTAGTTTAGGTCAGATAAAGGGTACATGCTAATGTAAGTATGTTCAAGACACAATAAAAATGCACATCTGTGTTTCTAACTACACAATTGAACAAAAGTAAATAAAACTAATACAGGTTTCTTTTCTGAATAATTGGGAAAGGAAATGATGTGATTTTGCTTTCATTTTTCTTTGTTATTTTTTGATATTGGACGTATATTTTGTGAAAAAACTATTATCATTCAAATTACTATGTTTGATAGAATAAATACATTAATAGCATAAAGAAGAAATGTAATTTTATAAAGTGGGAAATGTGCAGACAACTCACAATAGTAACAACCACATATACAGTGGCTAATAAATAGGCTTATTGACCTACAATATCAGTCATTAGAAGTTTCAGTCCTTTTCTTGTTGTTGCTGTTGTCTTAACAACCAAAAAGTGACTCTAGCCTGTAATCCTAGCTACTTAGGCAGAGATCTGACGATCTCCACCCATTCAGGAAGCTCCATGAGAGTCTTGTCTCCAATTACTCACCAAAAAGCCAGAAGTGGACCTGTGGCTCAAGTGGTAGAGCACCAGCCTTGAGCAAAAACACTCATGGATTGCTCCCTGTCCCCAAGCATAAGCCCTAGGAACAGAATAAAAAAAAATCAGTCAATCAAAAGGAAATACAAAGCCAGGAAGAGTGTTATGAAACCAATAAGAAGATTCCCAGTGTTTTTAAGATTTCAAAATGAATCATTGTTTGAAAACACTTTAATGCACACACTGGATAACTGTGCTGGACTGAAAATACACATGCAAATATACACACACATACACTGATGTATCTGATACTTATATTTACACAGAAACACATATAATACATGTAATAGGATGTTGTTGAATTGTGTTAGTCAATAGTGACATTAAGTACACTATCATACATAGGTAGACTGTGAAAGTATAAGGCTACTAAAATTACTCAACATTTTGAAGTATGTAATCCTGAAGATATGTGCTATATAAGCAAACACTAAGAATGCATGGTCAGTAATATGAAAACTGTATGTACTTCAGTAAGCAAAAATTCTCCAGGAATACTCACCCAAATTACACCAGCAGGGAATCCATAAAGCAAGATCCCACTTGTTTTCACTTCCTAAGGTCTTTATTAAATGAGCTACAATAATGCTGCATCACTATTAACTGAAAAGCTGATTATATGAACTACAAAAGAAGAAACTCCAGGTGAATATGCTTTCAAATTCAATACAGAAATGTCAGAATGAAATAGTGATCTCAGAATCATTCAAATAACTTAATAATGATAATGAAGTTTTACAAAGAACAACAATTGTTTCTTGGTCTGGAGACCAACTATTTTCTTATGTTAAAAATCACAATGATAGCAGATATTTGCAGTAAGAGGTTTATCACTAAGATACGTCCCAAGGCTATCTACAAATTCAATGCGACACTTATCAATATTCCAACCTCACTCTTCAAGGAAATAGAAGAGGCAATCCAAAAATTCATATGGAACAATAAAAGACCCCAAACAGCGAAAACGATCCTTAACACAAAGAACAGTGCTGGAGGAATATCAATACCAAATTTCAAACTCTACTACAAAGCCATAGTAATCAAAACAGCTTGATACTGGCACAAGAACAGACCTGAGGAACAATGGAATAGAACTGAAAACACAGAAATGAACCTGCAGACCAATAACCACCTAATTTTAATAAGGGAGGTAAAAAAAAATAGAATGGAAGAAAGAGCCTCTTCAGTAAATGGTGCTGGCAAAACTGGTTAATCACTTGTAGAAAACTAAAGCTAGATCCTTATATATCACCCTGCACCAGAATCAACTCCAAATGGATCAAACTTCATATTCATGAGTAGAAGTGAAAGGCAACAAGAGTAGAAGGTAGGACATAGACACAACAGGAAAAGAAGAGTGCAAGGAAGCAAATAAGAACATAATAATAATGAGAGGAATAGCTATAGTAGCACACCAACAGAACATTTCCTGAATCTTCTCTCGCCTGTTCACTGCTTAGGAGCCCGAGTGCTTTCTGTCTTGAGGATATCTCAGTACACACAAAGCCCTGTGCACGCCTATCTGGCCTCAAAAAGCTGAGGATCTACACCTAGTCCTTATTCTTTCATGATACAGATCATATGATCCACAGTTTGTTTGTTTATTTTTAAATCATTAAAACTATCCCCCCCCCCAGCCTTTATTATTAGGTAAATTACCTCTCATTGAAAAAAAATCACCGATTGTGCCAACTCATCTAGATATCTCCAACTCCAGTCTGGACTAGATATCGGTCCTCTAACCCTTCATGTCATACTTACTGTTCTGTGATATATTTACAAATATTAATCAGTCTCATAGTCCATAAGCGTTCAAGAGCAGCAACTATAAATCTTGACCCACAAAAATAGCTGTGAATTTGAGAGAGATTAAAATAGTAATTACTCTAGAAATGATCACATGCTTATGGCTAATTAAAGAAAAAGTAACTAAATACAAATTTCAAAGAACTCTGAAGTCACTTGAAGTCACAAATAAATCTAGGCCATATGGAGCAAGGAAAATTCTAAATTACCCTAAGAAAGATAGTACAAGTGAATGTTCAACAAGTGTTTTGAAATTAAAAATACAGATAAACATGAAAGAGTATTAATGTTGTGGAGTATGTACTATTTATTACCTATACAATCAATAAAAGTAACTGATAATTCTAGTTGCATATTGACTTTAGTTGCCCCATCCCACCTTACCTGCCTAAAAAGAGAAAAAGCACAACAGAAATAGAAACCACTGTTTCCACTGTTGCTGGCTCTTTTGAAAAGTGTTCCCCTTTGATGCTGTCTCCTGCTTCTCTCGGTGGCTCCAGCTAACAACAGCACTGGGTAATCAATCACCTGTTGCCTAATGTTCTGAATCCCCAGATTGTTTATCTTGGGAATTCTGCTTTATTTATTTATTTAGGTACCAGTCCTAGGGCTTGGGCACTATCCCT